ATGCTTCTATTGTATTAATATTTTGCCTGTATATAGCTCAGACCTCTTTACAGAGACTCAACTATGATTTTTGAAAAGTTTAAATTATTTTCAGAGTTACAACCATTTGAAATAATGATCGGCGTATTTTCTTAAAATTTCTCCCTTCTGTTTTCGTAAAACATGGATAAACCGACTTCCGAGTTATGCATTTCAAAAATTCTAGTTGAGCCTCTGTACAGAGGTCTGAGCTGAATACAGGCAAAATATTAATACAATAGAAGCATTTTTTACAAAAGGAGAACATTTGGAAAAAAGGTTATTCTAAGTTAATTTTTTGCCGAAATATTGTATTTAAATAATTTTTTTGGTCATAATGTCCTTAAAACAATTGCATACATGTATTCTAATCTAAGTGACACTAAATATCATAAATATTATCCATTTACGCGCTTTTACAAAATCATGGTTCCGAACGTAGTCGGATACCTTTATTAGTAGAGAAAATCGAAATTTTTTCATTTTCTGCTATTAGTTCACTCTCTCCCTATATATATATATCTTGTTCAAATTTTCAATCGTTAATAAAATACTTTCTTTTCATCCATTCAACTTCAAATACATTTTTTTTAAACTTGTAGTGGATGACACTTAATTTTAATACAGTTTTTTGAAATATTAATTCATTACTTAATGAATAGTTAGTAATAAATAAAAATCGTAGTCCGACATCCTATATAAAAAGGAAGATCGCTCGTTGTGTTCCTGTAGCACATTGGACTCCTAATCCAAAGGACGTAGGTTCGAATTCTACCTGGGATGGCCAAATTTCTGAGAATGTGATTTCTTTTTTCACTATACTATTTCTTTGCATAACTTAATTTAATTAATGAATAAACAGGAACAAAAAAAATAGTTCAACACTATATATAGAAAGAAAAATGGAAAATTGCAAAGAAAATCGCTTTCTATTTTGTCACTTAATATTGTGATTCTGTTATATGCATATACATATTTATATTAATTGTAACTATTTAATAAAAAGTAACTAAAATAAAATTTTTCTTTGTCGACCTAAGTAGAAATTGATTTTAATTTTTTTGTTATATTACTTGTTTTTCAGAATTTCAAAACCTACCTATGCAGAAAAGACACTCTTTTGTATATAGGTGAAGGAGAAAATAAAATAAAAAAAATGATTTTAAAGTTAAGAATTTCCATAAGGAGAATTACCGTAAAATCCGGCGTATAACGCTTACTTTTAACACAAAAATAAGATAAAAATTTAAGGGTGTGCTTTATACGCACAAGGTATAAAAATGATTGCTTTAAAAATAACAAAGAAGATGAGCATAAAAACAAATTTACTTCTTTTTATATGCCTTATGAACTGAAAGAGATGTAGTTTTAGAAGTATACTATTTTTTCAAAAGTCTGGGATAATTATTTGAATAAATGACTTCAAAACATAAGAGCCTTACCTACTAATATTTCAGATTTCTTCGTAAAATAGGGGGTGCGCGTTGTACGGCGAATATACCTAAAAATTAAAAAATGCAGTTTGAAAGTATAGGTGCGCGTTATACACCGGTGCGCATTATATGCCAGACAACGGTAAGTAAGTATTTGAGCTTTTTTATAGTAAGAAGGTCTGTGGGGACTATAAATCGGACAGAGTTTTGGGTAAAGGAGGCGGCGTTGAGTAGCTAAAACACGTCGACTCAGACTCCAGTTTATGTTGGACATTTTAAATTTGAAATAAAATTAAGGTGAATTGAAAAAAAAAATTACAAAGTTATTATTTTTTTATTATGAATTATATTTTGAGAAATATTAGTAAATCCTATTTAAATTTTTCATACATGCTTTTTGACAATTCCTAACTCAAATGGAGATATGTAATCAATCTAAAATTTCAACCTAAACTACGAATTATCTCGTTGCCGGCAATTTTAGTACACACGCTAACTACAAGATATCTCGTACTTGGCAGTGTGAATGGGTTAATTATAATATAAATAATCTGCTATGCCATCATTTTTTTCTGTAGCATCTATTACTTCATTATGTGTATATTTTTCATACATACGAGGGAGCCGGATTTTGGAGTCAGAGTCAAAGCCGGTCATTTCATAACCGACTCCATTGCCGGAGTAAAAAGTCAAAGTAATTTTTATGAAGAAAAACAGGTGTTTTTGGTACTTTTTTACATTTATCGCGATGAGTGCGAACACCTACTAAATACTTTCGAGGAAAAACATCAGGAACATTTAACAGCTTCTTTATTATTAAATTAAAAAAAAACAACCCTACCGTCGAAATGACAATGTACGATAAAGCAGAAAACGGGAAAATCTTGGATCGCACTGATTTGACGGTGTGGGGAGTGAGACAGCTGGAGTTATGAAATGTTGCAACGTACATTATACTATTCACTTATCAATTATCACACATTCTTGGGCTACTTATTTTGAAGAAAAAAAGTTTTATTTTGAGTCTAAAATCATTTTATCAAAATCAAAGTCTTTTTTCCCTTTTTTCGAAAATTCAACCCTTTTGTGCAATGCTTCTCAATCTTTCAATATTTGCGACCTAATTTTCAATCGTGATTTTTATATCGCGCCTCCCCTTCCATACAATAACATTGTATTGAATGTAATAATAATGTACTTTGACGCTAAAGCTACAAAAAACGACTTTAACTATAAAACTCACAAATAATCAAAATAATATTAAATTTTGTAAATAAAAATCCTGAGGGAGTCAGTTGTAGCTATTATTCTTACAAGGGGAGGGCACGACTAAGGAAATTCATTTGGGGACGAGACTTGGTGTAATTAGTAGTACTCCTTTAGGGCGTTCCACCCTCAATGTAATTCTGCCGAATGGTTAGTCAATTCGGAGAAAATAGCCTTCGAAATTCATGCTTAGCTTTTTTACAATTAAGTTTTAATTACCTTCAGTGACGCAGTGGCATAGTTGGTAGGACGCCTGCTTTCTATTCTGGCCTATAGGGTTCGAGTCGCACGAGCAACTTTTTTTTTTTCAATTCATTTAATTATTTTTTAAAATAAAATAAATTTATTTATAAATTTATAAATTTGTTTAAAATATTTTATATAATTATAAAATAATTCAATTAATAATATATAAAAAAGACATATTATTTTTATTATATTAAATCTAAAATAATTAATTTAACAATAATAATATATTTTATAGATTATTTTATGTTATATATAATATTTTATTTATAATATATTGTATTTCACATTATAAAACTATTTGTAACTAATTTTTATATAAAACGTCATTTAATATTTATTATAATGTATTTTATTATAAATATTATTTACTAATATAAAAATATATTTATGAAATATAATATAAATATTTATATAGTTACAGTAATTTTTTTACAATATAAAATACAAAATAATTACATAAGCTATCGTTTAACATTAAAAAAACCTTTCATAAATAAATTTATTTAATTTAAAAAAAATAATTAAATGAATTGAAAAAAAAAGCGATCACGCGATTCTAACTCTATTCGCCAGCGCCGAAAGCAGACGTCTCACCAACAATGCCACTGCGTCACTGGAGGTAATTAAAACTTAAATGTATAAAAGGTATCCATGAATTTCGAAGGCTGTTTTCTCCAAATAGACTGGCCATTTGGCGGAACTACATTGAGGGTTGTACACCCTTAAGAAGTATTACTATTACATCAATGAATTTCCTTAGTCGTGCCCTCACCTTGTTAGTTTAATGTGGGTAAATTAATTATCAAATGCATCGTACAATACAGATAAATTTATATTACATCAATGTAAATGAGTATTTTATTATTTATTTATTTTTTTTGCTTCCATTCAGTAAATTAATACATTTTGTTTAAAAATAAACTTTTATTTTTGACTTTTCAATATGCTCGAGCTCCCCACGTAAGAGTTTTCCCGCCTTCTTAAGGGAGCGCGCCCCACAGTTCGAGAAACGCTGCTTTAGTGGCATTATAAAAAATTTTGAAATTATTTTTCTCTTGACCTTCATATTATTAGATATCTTTTCCTCATGTGTGTAGGAGTTCCGATTACTAACAATTTTTTTTTTCTCCTTATAACCATCATCC